AATCTAGACAGAACTGAAGGAGACTAGAAAACCATGATAATGATCAGTATTCAGTGATCAATCTTAAGGGACTACTACTCCCCGAACCTATCAAAAAGGTTTAATACACGTGGTAATGGAGTAATTGCACGATAACCGGTGACCAAAAAAAGGCTTCATACCCAATTAGTTCCGTCACGTTCTTGGCACCCATATGCATCATTGATTTGACTCATTTACCAAGTATATTAAATCTATATATGTACTCAGCTTCAAAGTATTGTTGTTTTGGCCAAGGTTAGTCAAACTAACCATGTGTTTCAGATTGAACCATCAAGAAGCATTTAACAAAGCAGTAGGAACGCATTCACACTACTACCTATAAAAATTATTACAACTCAATTTCTCCACATTAGCACATTTCTCATATTTTCATGTAAATATACACTACACTACAATACATACTGTTCATAACTTTGTGTGTAAATTCGTATTTAGTTGTTACTGTACATCTGCTATTATTTCATATACTACAAAACAAAATTGTACACATTAACAACACTAACTTCTTGGAGTTGGCGATGTGGAACGCATAGGCACTGAATGACGATTCACATGGTTTGTTTGTAGTCTGTGATTTGATTCCTGTCGACGACAAACAAAAGAACAAAGGAGAAAAGGATTGGGTATGTAACTTGATATGAAAAAAGGCTCAATTAGTATGAAGCATAAAAACGATAGGTAACTAACAGATAAACAGACAGAAATTATCAGTAAGTATACAATCTGGCATAGATGGATATTGGTCCAAACTACCAGGTCAGATAAGTATAAGGAGATGTAACGTATAAAATAGATAGAGATAATGTAGTCTTAGTAGTAGTAGTAATAATGACGATTTAAAAAAATGCTAATACTGAGAATAAGGTTGGAAAATACAACGTGGAAAGGACTGTCAATCGGCTATAACATCATGTCAGGTTTCTCTTTACGACAACATTAGCCAAGAGAGATGGAATTATCAATTCAGATTCCAAAGTGGTAGAGGTATTAGCGCGGAAAGGATTATATGAAGGAATACTGGAATTCGAGATCTAGAATAAGGGAAAGAGTAAGTGTCCTGATCTATGTCACCTAGTGTTCAACCACTGACAGTGATTATCTCGCCTACCTCAACAAGGTAGTCTATACATCTATCATCATGACACAAAAGGTGACACCATGTTTTATTTCAGTTTCTCATGGGTTTCTTCCAACTTACCCTCACTCCAACCATCAATGCATTTCGAGGTAGGCGTTGGGCATTCGTAGAATAAGCTACAACTACTACCTGTCGATGGAGATTTAGTGTTGATTCAATCGGCTTGCTTTTCTTACCTAACACCAAGTGTGAAATGCTATGCATCGAATTTATCGTAGTGGTCAACAGACAGATATATCACGTACAACACAGTGGTGCAAGTTCGTAAGCTTCAACTGACCTATCTGAATCGATGACGAGATCTTGTCTGGCACCAATTCACCAGAAGCAAGGGAACTCTCAACACAGAGGATGGTCAACAAACTCAAATACTTCGCTAAATATAACTGGTTCAGCCAATCAAGTAATATACTGCAGTTACAGGAATAGAAATGCACCCCAAACGTACTACGACTGTTGCTTAAGGTGAACAAAAAGCTCCGCATATATGCATAATGACTGCTTGATTGCCTTTAAGTAGTGCAACAATGGAATATACAGTTTCCTTCTAACGGCACAACTAGTCGTTATGCAGTAAGCCACTTGAAAAATTAAGTTCTTTCTGAACTTCATTTAAGTAAGTATTATAAATCATCAACGGAGAACCTGCTACAAATATGAGCTAACACAAGTACTGTTATACATTTTGTGCTAAAAAAAAAGAGGCATCAATGTGATGCACTGACTTTTATACAAATGGTTACACCATGAACTATCGCAAAATGGTAGCGATGAAATCTGATATTTTTAACTATACAGTTGAAACGATGATGAAATAAAAAATTAGTCCCTCATAAAGGCAAATAATTAAGTACAAAGAAAAGATTACTTGTTGACTGGAACTTTGAAATCCCCTTGCAGTGAAGAATGAAGGCGGTGATGATGGCGGTAGTGGATGCACAGCACCAATTCGTTGATTTCCAGCTAAGTAGTATGAAGAGACAATTTAATAAAAAGTGAAAAATCAGTCACTAGTTATAGGAAGGAGTCAAATGAAAATGTCATGTTCCGATAAATATTAAGCAATACGACTTTCAGCATTGTCGTCTGAAGTTACTGTTCATATTTTCGCTATATAATTATTGATTATTAAATATACTTAAATTAGTGTATTTCTTTGGGCTTCTACTTGTAAGCTTCTCCGTGATGCATAAGCTGTTGCTATATGTTGTACTGTTACCTTGTGAACGACCTACTAATCACTTCTTTTCCACATGTTGCTTCACTTATCTCTATTTTGATCAATTAATTATGGTATGTAGTCAGAACCTTATATCATGTTATTATACAAATGATTTGTATTTTCAAACTGCATAATTGAAATCATCTGCACCATTCTTGTTTCCGAGCAAGCCAGTTTAGGAAACTGCATTCTGGATTCATAGTCAGGTATTAGTCTCGGCTAACTCACTATAATCGAGTCACCGGTTAGCCGGTTACTTGCACTATCCAGAGTTTATGAGAATAATTCAACACTCGGACTAGATCAAAGCAAATGCTCTCAAGTCATACGTTCCGATCACACAGGACCACGAAAATGGAGTAACAAAATTTGTTTATTTTAACCTTATAATTACTGAACAAAAAAATTAAAAAGGAACCAATTTTATTGGATTTATGGACGATATTCAGGATTATCATTCTTTCACAAGCGTTAGTACAACGGGTTTGAATTCTTATTCCCGGTTGGAAATTAAAGCATCTAAAACAGCACCAATCAACTGAGAGAGAACTAAAGAGTAGTGAGAAAAACCATCTAAAACCATCTACACCATCTTCGACATTGACTACTATAATTCTAATTTGCAAGGTTATTGAACTAGTTTTGCATTGCTGACTGGTGACAGCAACAAAAGTCTCCCTTGGACTGCCAGCATCTGCAGCGATGCTGACTTTTCACAACGTAAGGAAGGGGTTAAAAATGTCGACCCAATAAATTTCACACCTTATGAATGAGAAACATGGCCGTTAAGAGTAGAACATGTTCGTAGGTTACTACTATTCGATCATGGATATCTTAGAAGCATTGCTCGTATATCGTGGGACAACCCAGTAAGCAATGCTGTCGTTAGGAGACGAGTACTAGGTACAGATGGCAAGTCAATAGATGAAGTATTGAAACATCATCAGTTGAGGTGGTTGGAACATGTGTTACGAATGCCCAACCACCGACTATCCCGACGAGCTATGTTTCGCAGTGTAGGAGTGGATTTGAAGAAACCGAGGGGCGGCCAGACCAAAACATGGCACAAATCCATGAAATCACTGACAAGTGGACTGAGTCATGTTGGTAGATGTAGACTACCTGGTCGTGGTCCGCGAGACGATAGTTACCGATGGTTTGAGACCTTGAACGACATGGCTCAGAATCGTTTGCAATCGCGCAAGTGCATCCATTCTTTGAGCTCTCTCAAATCCTAATCTTCTGCAATCGTCAGCACCTCTAACTTTGTCTTCCTAACCTTATCTCACTGAATTATACTTCTTGAATAATATCTTCAAACCCTAGTCTTCTTCATTACCATTAATACCTCTACTATCTCTATCACTATGGGATCTGATTTGACATTCGCGTCTCTGTGCTAATAATGTGGTATGGCAACATGAACTTATGTACATACGTACGAAGTTCTACGCTGCAACTGCAACAACTGCATGTATTCGATCAAAGGTGTCTTCGGAGCATACGGACCACCAAGTAAGCAATGCTGATGTCACGGAAAGAGTACTGAGTAAGTATGGTAGATCCATTGACAAAGCAGTGAATCTTCGTTCAAATTCTAATCTTACGAGTTACTCATGACATTTTTTCTCTCCTCAAGTCTATTTCGCTGTATTTCATCTTACTTCTTCAATCATACCTTTGATCACTAATCTTTTTGATTACTGTTAATACTGCTACAACCTCCACTGATATGGGATTTAAACCGACTGTTCCATCTCTCTGTCGTTATGTGGTATGGCAACTTGAATTGATGTACGTACGTAGCAAGTTCTACGTTGTAGCTGACTGAGAGGCTTCTATACAGAGCATCATTGGCTTACACAGCAACTGGGTAAAAAAGCAGAAACGTTATCAGTTAGCATGGCAGCATATGTTCGAATATTCAGACACCAAGCAAGGGACGCTGAAGATGGTGCGAATTGAAACGTTAGCAGAAAAGTTTAGGAATAGAAGCTGGCAACAAGTGTGTTGGAGGTTTCTGTTTTGCTTTAAAAAATAGCACGCGCCTTTAAAATGAACAGGATGCATATTTCAGTATTTGAACAGAATACTTAACCCTAAGGGTTTGTACGTGTTCGTCCCTAATGTTAAGCACTGTAGTCGATAAGTCTTTATTAGAAGGAATAGGTGCAGTCTAAGAGAATCACTTCTAAAAAGACTTTACTGCCAATTTTATTGTATCTGTGGCTTGTGACAAAAACAGTTGACGAGGGGATTTGTTTATTATGCATACATACCAACAAATACAGATCGAAATCCAGCCCTGAATAACAGTGACGAGACAACACAAACAGTTACGGATAAACATTATACCTATTCAACAAGTTAATGACTAGCTAGACTTAGTAGCTGATAAGATAATAAGTTCGCGTATAAGGATACAGGTAATGAGTTCAAGACAATATCGAAAATTACATGGTGGTGAAGGTACATCTAGCTCACGAGTCCCACGTAGGAACAAACGCCGATAATCAAAAAACACCTTACATGTCACCATGAACTTTGTCAACTATCGTCCAAACAGTGAAACATTAGAGCGGTCATAATTTAACTTACCATGTGGAAATGGCGGATTTGAAGGTCCGGGTACGATTTGAGGGTAAAGATGCTGAAAATGTTTAACGAAAAGCAGAAAAGCGATTGATATAAGTAATTACGATAGTAGCGAGTAGTCAAATCTACAAAACATCTTTAGATTTAATATTCCGAGATTCCAAAATGTAAGAGTACTCGTCTAAATATTTCGCGGTGATTTTGTAGAGATCTAACTACTCAAAAATACTGAATCGAATCGGATTATTTATACAATTATATAATCCGAAATAAAACATCGTGTACATGGATACGTATGTAACAAGGATATAAGTACATGTAACACTGTGTTAACTTACACACCTAGCAACAAACTAGACAGATTGAGTAAGAAACTATGAATAAGATGTCTTCTGGTACTTTGAATATCACCAAAAACTTAACAACACTGGATATACGAACGATGGTTAGACAAATTAACACCAAAAACTCGCTTCGAGTAACCAGATGCTGATAAGCACAAATGCGTTAGATTCTGCACTCCAGTTTTACAACAAAGTGCATCAATCAAAGAGAATGAGAAGTGCGATTCTACTGCCTGTTTCGACAGACACGCTGAAGTGACAGTGTTTGTTGAAAATGTAATGAATTTGATCCTTTTTTACGACGAATGATTACAGTTGTGCTTATCACTATGCAGAAATACACTACTGGTTTAAGGCATTATACATTTGAAACTGATGTAACTCTTTCTTTGAGTCACGAGATCACACTGTCAGTCATAGAATCAAACTAATCCCTATATCAATATCGTTTATGTTCGTTCATGTAAAATCTACACCACAGGCACATATACCTTTTTTTCTATTAGATGAAGCTCTTAGAGAACAAATCACCAATCTACTTATCTCATAAAACACCAGCTAAGTGCTCGTAATGATATCAGTTAAAAACCAATCGAAAGACCGAAATGATACAGTGTAAAGTCATATTAATGGTATAGAGAAGAAGTATTAGTGGTGAAGACCACCTAATGGCACAACATTTAACGTAGGCTGTATATAAATCATACTAAAACTGATTTGAGTGTAGGGTTATAACACATACCAAATGACCGAATAAGTGATTAGGCGTGGAATATAAGATTTATAGAGTCAAAACATATACCTGAGATACTGAATAACCACTAACTTTACCGTGCGAAAATCAGGTTTACGAAACTTTATTCTAGGTCTTTTCACCTTCATTCTCACAAATTCTTATGCTGTTAAATATGGACCACATCTACTATCTTACACTAGAAAAGCCAAATTCTTGCTTTTACTCAACGAATTTCGATAAGTTCTCCAAATAGATAAAAATATTGACTACATTAACGAAGTAAAATTCCAACAAATAGTAATGGTAGAGCAAATCAGTATGCAAATAATTTTGTGATTGTAGCGCTTAACCACAATCGGGTGAGGGTCAGAAACATCGCTTGTTTGTCCAAACCTAAAAAGAGAAGCAATCTGAGAGGAACCTAGACTTTTGACAAAATTCCAGTCATGTACCACAATACACCAAACCATGATCCACAACAAACACTCGAAAATTTAAGGACCAAAAAGATGTATTTGTGATAACAACTTCACCGAAATCATGTTTAGTTGAATACTTACACCTTTTGGATAATTGTAACCAAGATAAGGATTCTTTGGGGGATTATTAACGCGATCCAACCCTACAAATTCGAAAATTCAAATGAGACAAAAAACAATTAGGTATGAAAAATATAGATATCCAAGCAGAAACTTGTGTATCATTTGCAGAGCGCAGTAAAATCAAAGTACAGTCAAAATTAACGCAGTACATACCCCACTGATCTGTGAAAGGAGAAGCATGTCCATACTGTCCCATGTTACTATTCATCTTGTGTTTGGTTGGAATCAATCTAAAATAATATGGAATGAAACACTTTATATAGCCAGTCCACTTAGCACTGAAAAAATTGAGCTCATTATTACAAGTGTAAATTTAATGAAAAACTCAATTGATATTTAAATAACTTCACACTCGATGAACCGGAGGTATATGCATACGTGTATTCCTTAGGTTTACAATAAAATGAGCCTGAATTAATTCTTCTTGATTAACGTCACATTCCCAGTGTTAGCGACAGAGATACAACCCGGCAGCTAAAATCTAAGCAGACATTGAGGTTTGAATCAACTATTTAGTCACTGGAAGTTGAACGACTTGATGATCACCCTTCTCTTAATTTATCAGACACAAACCATTAAGTTGAAAGCCATGAAATCAAATCACTTAAAGTAGTTCGTTTGCACTCAAACTAGTGAACGAAAGAAAAACACCTCGTAAATAAGAAAAGAATGTGTCAATAACAGAACCAATACAATAACAAAATGACAATTGGAAAAAGCTTGATGAACAGATAGTAAAGTTTGAACCATGTTCTTTAAAAGAGTTACCGTAACCGTCAAGATTCAAATATCTAGAATATGCTATCTTGAGAATAACTGGACAATGATGAACCTTCCCAAGAAGTAGTTTAAGATATGAACAGTGCAAAATGAAAACACTCCTTGGTTACATGCAGTAAACAGCATTGTTGTTCTCCATATATTGCATTAGTTTGGGCTAAAAATACAGGACTTCCAAGTTTCGTTGCACTAGCAGCTATGCCGCAATGTGTTTATCACTTAGCAGATAGGCCGAATGAAAAAAGTTTCAGGATGGAACAAAACAATGAGGATAAGATTAAAACCACATGAAAGTCGCAGTAGTTTGCCTATACCAAGAAGGAGCGGACTGTAACAGCTGCATTACACTATAATCATATTATTAGTCATTTAAGGTCCCTACAAATGATTAAACACTATTTAAATTAAACTTTTGTTTTATATAAAATGTATCTGTCGCCAAAATGAGACAGAACAATAAACCAAGATACACTTAAAAGGCAGCCATACTGTTTTCCCACCAAAGGCCAGCGAAGAATTCGAAGAACCGCTCTTCAGTCGTGACTTACGCACCAAGTAGTGAGACATTATCCAATATCCAATATCTTTTTCACGAGCTGGTATAAACCAACTGATTTCTCTGCGCCGGATTAATATTCTTTTGATACGGTTCTGGGTGTTTGGTAGTGTACAATGAATGGGGGTCTAGCCACTCGACGGTCTAGATTAGTGAGTTTGCAGTTCGTTATGAGTTAGGATGGTTTGGCGTGCTTAATATGTTGTACGCCATAATCAGATCACTTCTTATTCTCCTCTGACTCAGATGGAATAAACAGTATAAATAATCCGCAGTTTATCCAATATCCAATATCTTTTTCACGAGATAGTGTAAACCAACATGACTTCGTCGCGGTCGATTCGTGTTCTTTCGGTACGGTCCCAGGTGTTCGGTTATAGTGTGCGGATTTCGATGTGTTCTTAAGTTTCGTAATTAGCTCGTTCAGACAATCGTTACTAGACGGCGTCTGACGGTTATAAATCAGAAGGTAAACTCGTAGCATTGAATATGTTTATTGTGGGTAATTAGGTTAAAATTATAATGGTGATATGAATAAAATTTCATAACTGAGTAATATATAGATGAATTTAGTTTATTAATTGGTAGTGAAGATTGTGAGAGAGGACCGAAGTGTAGGCAAGGGAGAGGAAACAGAGATAATAGGCGAGATAGATTAATTGAGTGATCTGAGGAGATGGCAATGGTAACAACTAGCAGGTCTCAAGATATGCATCAGGCAAAGCTTGTCCAAGAGGGAGATGATAGTCCGTATGTGAGTGCGCTATTATCAAGTCTCTTCTTAAAGCAGTCCACCGAGGGGGCTTACTTGAAATACATCAAGTCGTGAACTCAAATTCATACATTTGGGACAAATGAGCGAAGGCAGATCTAAAAGCCAACAAATCTACTGACTACATCATACCGTTTTCAAATACGCATATTAAAGGAAATTCACCGCAATCGCAGCGAAAAGCAACAACTAATATACAATATCTAAACTAAAGAAGAATGGCAAGTACGTAGGAGAAAACAGAGAAAAAAAGCGAGATAGAAAAAGTCATTGATCTAAGGAAACGACAATAACAAGAAGTAGCAAGTTCCGAGACATGCATCAGGCACAGCTGGTCGAAACGGGAGAAGACAATTGGTATGTGAGTACGTGTTTGTCAAGCCTCATGTTGAAGCTATCCACCGAAGAGACGGCTGTGGTCACTTCGGCTGAGAGAGCATTCCGAGTTGCGATAATTCTTAATGAGAAAAAGTGTGCACGAACCTGTGTATTCGCTCTTGGATGTACAATCTTTGAGGATTGCATCAGTGGAGTGGTGGTGATGCATAGGTAAGATGCTCACAGTGGGATGAAAGGTTTTATCTGTAACCTTATCACCTACATCGTTGATCACCTTCACAATCGATCCAAGAGATTTATGTCTCTTTTACGGAGAGTGGAAGCGACAACGTTGTGAATCTCAATGTGTGGACGTGCAAGTCTTAAACAACCCTAAAGTTCATTTTTGCGTGATGTCATCAAGTTGTCTTCATATGAAGTGAAGAGTTGTGTTTGCACTGGCTGCCTTCCGTTATAGAGTTCGAACCTGTGTGAAGGCTTTCCGTTGTTATTAAAACGAGAACGTGCTCTGAGGAGACATTAGTGGGCGGACGTCCATTGAGAGTGTAAATCGTTTGCATTATGTTGGGCAGAATGTACTTGACGTCACACTTCGGTTGGTTTAGTGTTAAACCGTTTTCCACCGCCCATTCCTCTATTCTCAAGGTAGTTTATGAGACAAGGTTGGAGTGGGTCGGTGAAACCCATTTTCGCAACATTCACGATTAGGAGTGCTTGGGATACTGTGTCGTAGGATTTCTCAAATTCTAAAAATATTATATGCATCGGTATTTTCTGGTCACAGCAGATTGTTCCACTGTCCCATGCTATGAGCAGATTGGATGCGCACGTATAGAACATATGTAGTTGATTCAGTACCATGGATGCTATTTGGGCCTCGTGAAATTCCACTGTTTCAACATCGTTGGGTAGCGAAGTTGTCTTATGAGGTGTTTATATATAATGTTTTTAACCCGTCCACTCTTTACTCACAAACATTCTCAAAACCAGAACAAATGGAGACAATATAGGCAGATTTACCAGAAAATAATAATCAGTTACAATCACTGGTAATTTACAAACCCCAAGGCTTTAATTAGGACTGTCCAAGGTAACAACATTAAGAACAGATAGCCTACATGTTTTCATCGTCTACCATATCAACTACGGATATGAAAAGCTAGTCAGAAGATATATTAATACGAATAAACAGGACCAGGTGTTCCAACACCAGTGATAACCGATCAAATAATAATCTCCATTCAAAATCATGTATTACGTGGTTTGCACTGACCAAAAACTAATAGGAAGTACCAGATGCGCACTACAAACCACCATGAAGGTTGTCTCCTGTTGGGCATGTTTGTAGAATTCTTTTTGAATGGTTTGTTTTTTGGAAAATCCCTCCATGTTTACATATTTTTTGCTATGACATGACGGACCTTTTCTGTTGACATCTTTGGTATTTTATTTTATTCCAATTTGAGATTTTACCATTGTATATTGTTATTCTTTCTATATTTTGTACTTATATTGAAGTTTTGTGTTTGCTTCTGAACTGTACATATGTTGTTTAAATTTGATATAATATGGCTACCGCCACATTTTTGGACGGACGCAGTGGCCGCTGGACTTAGCTTCACTTATTGGTTATTGTGTCTGATACTCTGCGGAGTAACCTTACCCTGGAAGAAGTACTGTTTCCGTAAGGCTTTGTATTTCCATTTTTTAACCAATACAGAGACGTTTTCTCCTAGAATTTTGTCCTTTTTGAATTGGTTGGGACCCGGAACTAGGAAAAGCGTACAGGAGTGCTTCTATTGGAACCAATTGGGACGGCCACTGTAGAAATATATTTACATGTTTTTAAAATGATAAATCTCGGAAGTCCTTTTTGTAGAGTTCGTCACTAAGTATACTTGAGGCTATTACGAGTTTGTCTTAGTCGATAAATGCGAGCGAGACTTTTACCAGCGTCCAGGTAGGCTACCTTGAATCCCCAAGGCGAGTAAAAAGAGCTTTGTCAGCGTAGAAAATATATTCTACAAACAGTCAGCAATCACAGTACAATCAAGTATACAACTCTCGTTATTTATACAACATAGAAACGTCCTTGAGATAGTTAAGAAAACAGCACACTAAAATACACAGCAGCCAATCACAGCCACGGATTGTCAAGGTGGGAATCGGAAGCTCAAGGTCAACTGGTCAGCCCATGCTGGCAAACGTGAAAACCAAAATAAGGCATTATCAAGCAATTTTTGGGGATCTAACATCCCCAACACTTTTCGATGCTGACACAGAGTCTCTAACTAGTCTTCTGGCATACACAGACTAGTGTGAATGCAGTTAGCCTCACTGAAAAATGAGAACAATGACAAGACGAAGTTGATCAGATAAGTTTGATAAATTTACTAGTCAGGAGTAAAACAAACAGGATGCTTTCAAGACATACAAATATAGAGAGGAGTATTCGGGCAATGAATTCAAAAGTTATAGATGTGCATGAATGGCTTTAAAAACAAGTAATTTTAAACCATCCTGTAAATGTGAGGCGTGGAAAGCCACACTCAGTGACAACAAAAGCAAGATATGGAACTGAAGTCAGTGCAGATTTATAACATTGCGTCGAAACCAGTAAGGACGGATTCCTAGGCTTATAAAACCATCGGTTATTCGGCAAATTCAACCAAACTATTATATTTCCTACAATTTAATTTGACCAGTTATTCTTTAAGATATTGCATAGGAAGGTACAACGATTTCATAATCGTTCTATACTGTGTAGTGACCTACTTTTATGAAGAGAACACGATTGGTATGATGGAAACATTTCTTATTACAACAAACTGTACCAGTGATCGTTTTACCAAACCTCTTTGTTTCGTTGTACCAAAAACACATTTACTGTTGTATGTGACTTCGACCTAGCTCACCTATGCACGGTAGTATAGCCTGTAAACTTTGGCACGGTCTCGGTATTATTTCGATACCATGAGATCGCCAAAAATACATCCTAACTACAATCTAACTGTCCTTCTAACATTTTTCCTGCGAAGGTATTTAACCTAGTGACTGGTGTGTAGTGGTGATCATGGTCATTATCGACTTAATTTACAATATCTGTTAATTTTTTCTGTTTTTTATAAAAATTATCATTTAATGTCTGTTGAGACTTTTTTCAATTGAGGTTTATTAATTCATTACATCGACAGGCCAATGTTTGATCAGCTTATTCGAAATATAGAACACAAATATATCACATTTTATGTACATTGTCTTTCCAGTGTCTAAATCAAGATATATAGATGTCATTTGTACTTTTAAATGCTTAAACGACCTTGGCAGACTGAAACGAAAATAATTGCTTTATGAAACGGTGAGAAACTTCTCCATTTCAGAAGCGTCTTCGAATAAGACTTGTCAAATTTCTATATTAGAAATACACAGATAATTTTTTCAAACACTGGAATTAATAGGAGGTGCAACCATGCTCCTGAGATTTATTGACGATCAGTTAGATAAAGTTGACTAATCTGTACAGATGACGAGAAAATCTGGAAGTTTATAAGGAGCAAAGATGATTAATCTGGGCTTCGAATGGATCTTGCAATAACAGAGCAATGGGAAGTAAATAGTGATTTAAAACCTAACTAGTTGAACTGAGACGTCATGAACATTCTGCCTTATATGAACAAAACAGATAACGTTATTAACGGAAATGCGCTTCCTAGTATCTAATCAGGCCATGATCTCGATCTGATAACCACAATGAACATGGACAGCATTTCAAACTACACAGAGAATGCAGTGAAGAAAAATGTACCTTTGTAAAACGAAAAATAATTGGTATGAACAATCAAGAATCATTCCAAACGAAAACAGAATTATTCTTAATTGCAGGAGAATAAAAAGTGATCAGATTGTAGAATCTACTTTGAAGGTTTTGTTTTTGGAAAATCCCTCGATGTATATATATATTTGTGTTATGATATGACTGACTCTTTCTGTTGATATTTTGGTACTCTATTTGATTCCACTTTGAGATTTTATCATTTATATCTTGTTATTATTTCTATATCTTGTACATATATTTAGGTTTTTACGTTTCCTTCTGAACTATACATATGTCGTTTAAATTTGATATTTATTATGGCTACAGCCAGCCATATTTGGATATGATACTCTAGCAGTAACGGACTGGAAGCACTTATTCTTCCAGCAGCGGAACCTGTTGTAGTAATCGGAAACTCGAAGGTGTAATATTGTTTTGGTAATTACCTGTAATCCCTTTCTTGATTAAATATAGAACTGTTCTCTCCCAGAATTATCGTTTTTTGTACTTGGACTGGGTGGGACGCGTATGAACATACACCTTGCGGGTTAAAAGCGAACTGCAAGAGTAAATACTATGCATTACAGTTCAAAACAATATTTCGAGGAGGATCCTTTGTAATTCCTATCGTTTACTATTTCTAAACAATATTTGGAAGAGGATCATTTGGATATTTAACTGCCAATTGGTTCTTAACGATATTTGGAGAAAAATACTTTGGATATCCTATAGTCGGCGATAATTGAAGAAGCTGAACCACTGAAATTTAACATTTGTTCTTTGTTGATTCTTTTCCGTTGAATTTCAATTGCTGTAATGAATTCTCGTAAGAACTCAAACACGCAGAGTGATGGAGCCAATGAAGAATCGCGGAATACAAGGCAAGCACGGTACGATACTTCATGTTTAAAGGGTTCACTCTCTAATAAGGATGATATTATGTTGAGACTAACTAGTTTAGGAGTACATTTATAATCGCCTCTAGAAAGAACCCAAAGATATGGTTAGAATGGAATGCATATAGTGCTATTATTGCAGACTTCTGTTTTTACTAGTTAGGATGTAACGCTTTAAGATTAGAATAATAACATCCATGCGTTATAAACATTTCATTCATATGTAAATGGGGGGAATTAATTTTATAGTCTTTCAGTGGTGACCGAGTCCGGACTGACTATGATCACCACTAAGTATTCATTATTATCCCGTCACCGAAATCAGAAATAAATCCAGGGTGTAGAATATATTTGACGGAGGAATTTGGCGTTACGGCGATCAGCAACGCAAAAAGTGACGTTGCGCGCAAGTCAGTGTTTTTAGTACAGTTAAACAAAACCAGTACAACAATAAGAATTACATAGGTTGTTTGTACGTTTGCGAAGATGAAGGCTTGTTGGTAAATTCACTAAGATATGTTCCATTATATTTGATGTTGAAATTGCTTTCCACCTATCAGAGTAGTATGTAGTGTAATTCTGGAATTAATGTAACGTAAATACTAGGAGACAACAAGGTAATGCAAAAGATCGTTAAAATTGCAGTGAGACATAACTGTCGTTCCCAGATGTTAGGGACGCACTAAGAGGATGATCATTTAGAAAGCACAGATGAATACGGTACCACAGGTAGTCACAAGAAACGAAGATGGTCCAAATCTGTCAAATGGTAGTTAAGCCTAGAATATACCTGTAATTAAAGGTGATATTAACAAATAACCAAAGACATAATTCAGAAGGTATAAGCATTTATTAACAGTTTACACAAGATACTTCGGATCCGCTTGCCAGATACCACTAGCAAGAACAAACCGGATACCAGCGGAGGGAAAACCAGGAAGCACTGAAAAAGGATAGAACACAAAACTACGCCACCAGACAAGTCGTTACTCCCAAGGTCAAGGAACACATTACGCCGAGAAAATGAGACAGACATAAGAATGAACAACACTTGAGTGGGACTAGAAGGGAAGGCTCAGGAGAGAGTGGGTTGGAGAATGCTGGTTAGCGGCCTATGCTGCACTAAGGGTAAGATGCGTAAGTAATTAGTAGACATGAAAAGTATCCAGTTCGGACCAGTTGAAGTCAGCAACTAATACACATGCAGAAAACAGATTTTATTTTATATCTTACCATGAGTGTTTAGCGAATACGAGCCACTTATAACTATCACTATCACCGAGGGGGATTCTTGTACCTACAGTCATGATTCCATCTACCCCAAGCAAGTTTCTGAAGCGAGGGTAGTGCGTGTAAGACTATTAGTTACTGACCTGACGGAGAGTCGTAGAAGCTTAAGAAAATGGTCACTTACGATTCTCCGACAAGACAGTACACAAAACTTCCGCATTATATGACACCTGACAAACTTAGGCAACTCAAGTCAGTACAACTACCCTTCAATACATAACAATAATAAAGAAATGAAAACGAAGGGTAGTTCAGAAATGTAGTTTTGATGCTACATTAAAAAGAATGTTATTTGTGCATCGAAAACATGAGACATGATAATATATAATGGAAGAAAAAGTGAGATAAGAACATTTAATAAACGAAACAAGCAAGAATAAGACCGGTTTTGTCTTAGGCTGTATTGATAAAAGCAAGAATGGTATATGCTCTCCAGATAACCATTTTAGTGTATTTTACAACTAATGCATTACATTTAACGTGAAGCTATCCTATGATGATTCTGGATGTGTATCTCCTACACACTCCGTATTAGACACGTCTTTAGGATGTTCATCTTCCTTTATTGACTTCCGTTCTTCTTCCTTTACTGACTTATGTTCTTCTTCCTCTTCCTCTTCATCGTCATTTTCTTCTTCATCTTCGTCTTCACCATCTCCTCGAACGTCTGTTGCTGACTCTAATTTGGTGGAATCCTCCAACAATTTAGCTTTAGCAACTTCTAAAGCTTGCTCTCTTTTCATATCAATAATGTGACTGGGGAGTCCAAATAACGTTAGAATGGTCTGCAAAAGAAGAAGACAGAATTATCGGTTGTTAAAAACATTATATACAAACTATAAATTCGAAAAAACTGAGAAAATATGATCTCAGAAAACAGTGAACGAATGAAAAATTTACCCTAACTGAATAATTAGATTATTCGTTAAACGAATTTTGAGTTTTCTTACATAGAATCATGATGTTGTATATGGTGTGTTTACTTGTTATTTACGAGAAACGAGTATGGTTTATCGAATATAGGAATATCGAATCCTTTTTTTACAGTCAGTGGTACCACTATTTCGACGTTTAGCTTGACACTATTATCTCACTGTGCTGACATGTGACAGTTTATGTCAATTGCATGATGATGCCAGACTTTTACGACGTCTAGTAAAACCAACAGCAAGTCAGAACTATACGTTTCATCAGAATAATATCGTTACACATTAAACAAAGTGTAAAATAGCTAGTACACTGTTACAACAATCGACCTTTAAGATACGAGTTGTTTAGTGATTGATAACTGTTTCGTCTTCTTGGTTAGAATCTAAGTAATATGTGCAACAAACCAGAGTCTATAATGCAGCAAAACAGCTAGAGTTAGTACATATGAAATTGAAATAAAACCCTGGTGTCAAGTAACGATTATGGGTGCAATAAATAGAAAATAATGCTAGCACAAAAATACAAATGGTGAAATAAGGAATTCGAAAAGACTCAAAATCGTACGACTGATTGAACTCTCATGGTTTAGCTATTCCAGACCGATTAACGAAAAAATATGAAGTAACATGTACGGTTAAAAAAAAGCCTAGAAATTCAAAGAATGAATATGTACTATACGAATTACGACTTCGCAACGTTGATTTATCAAACAAGAGTTGATTTCACATGAAACATGTTAATACTTCTAAAACAGTACAGCGTGAAAAAATCTGAACTATATATATATATATATGCTTGTCATGGTTACTTACGTAACAATCTCTATAATCAATCCTATGACGATCCGCGCGTGATCGAATACATTTCTCCAAACTTTTTTTCCATGAACGAATTCGTGGATGGATTTCATAATATTTAATTGGAAAATGTTTTCTCATATCATCATAGCAAGTAATACGGAAACCACAAACACATAAATGCACACCTTTTTCGCCGATAATCCTTGCTAGTTCCTGTTAATGAAAAAAATGAACAGCAACATATAGTCAAAAGACTACAACAGTCTATTAACAATCAAACTTTACCTGGAGCCCGTGTGGGGATACTGCCGGTTGGGCATGGAGTTATCGACCCAATCCCATAGAAACCTAACCTGTTAAAAAAACTCTAACCGGAAACAGTTAAATCTGTTCAAACTCCGTCCTGGGAGTTAGATCTTCATTTAGAAGAGTTATGACGTCTGACGATGGAAGCCGAGTTCCTTCAAAAGTCATGAGGTCGATGACCCTTCTGACACCCAGAGCCCTTCCAAGGTGTAGGCAGTCGTGAAGTAACATACGCGCTTATACCCATAACAACACGGGACCAAATTGGTCACAATTAAATCCTTCCTACAGCCCCTAACATTCCTCATATCTCCACGACTAACTCTTCTCACACTAATTTAGCGACCCGCACCGAAAATGCGAACGATTCAAATTTAAGAAACGTCATTCCTGGTCTCCTGAAAAATCGCTCTGAACTACAGGCTGGAGCTTTTAATGTACGGACATTTCACCAAATAAGACAATAAACTTCCTCAGCTAGGACTTTAGAATCTCGCGCTATTGATGTATACTGCGTCTCCGAAACGATCATACGGGTTGCGAGTAGAATCATTAATTTGATTTCACTTTGTCAAAAATAAAGAAGGATATATGTATCTGGAAGCCCTACTGCTGCTTCCCATGGCCTCACTGGTGTAGATATAGTATTGAGTCCTAGGGCAGAACTAGCTGTCCTAGACTGGAACCCAGCAGGTAGTCGCTTGTGAGCTGTTAAACTGAATAGGACAGTAAGGGACTCGCAAAGGCAGGGAAACCCCCCGTTGTCTCTTCATCGTATCTTCCAACGCTCCCACTGAGAGCAGTTCAGATGAGTTTTACGGAAAGCGTTCAAACCTCCTCCAAAAAGTTGGGCGCTCTGATATAATAATGACTGGTGACTTTAATACTCAAGTAGGTAGACTAAGTGAGAAGGAAAGACAACTGGGTGGATCTCAAGGACACCCCACCTAACTGTGAACAGGATATGAAGGAAAGGCAGCTTAAACACAGGCTGATAAAAGCCCATCCAATCATCATGAACAGTGATGAGTAGCCAAAGCAAAAATGATGGGAAAGGCAGCGATGATAGGTAACAGGAGACAACTTTTCAGACGTATCAATGAAACTGGTATGAGGAATCCGACTTGACGAGACTCTCGGAGAGAGATGGGACTATTTTTCACTCTCAGTCGAAGAGATTGGGTCTATGGGCAGAACACTTTAGGGATCAGTTCAGTTGGTCTCCAGTCACACCACATTTCGGTTACCCGCGATATCCAGTCAACCTGAATGGCAAATTAATGCAAGTCCACTGACTTTTGATCAGCTTAAAAAGGCTCAAGGCAATCTAAGACAGGGGAGAGTAACAGGTCCTGGTGTGACAATCACAAAGAGATCAATCTGAAATATTAGCCTCGATAATACTTAGACACCTAAATAAAGCTCATGAAGAGCATATTTGAGAAAACCAGGCTGATTTCAGACCTGAACACGGGTGTGTATAGACCAAATATTCACATTACGTCAGGTCCTAGAACAAAGACACACGTTTAGGCGTCCGAAGATACTTGTCTTCCTGGAACTTAAGGCGGCATTTGACTCAGTGGATAGGGAGGTTCGGTGCTAGTGCCTGTCATCAAAAGGTGTACCAAAGTACATTAACCTTAATCTCTCTACTCGAACACTACAGGTTGAGTGAGAGCTTATGACGAACTGTCATTGGAATTCTCTACTTCGAGGGTGTCCGTCTGGGCTGTCCACTCTCTCCATTCTTGTTTAAAATTGTTGTATAAATGCTTTTAGAGATAACATTATCTTCGTCTGACATTTCAGCGTTGGATCATCTACCAGGAGGCTCGCTTATTGACTTAGAATATGTCAACGACATAGTCCTACTCGGTGAAGACGCTGACAAAATGCAGAGTCTTCTGACTACCCTAAGCAACAATGCAAGTGTGTTCAGGATGTTGTTTTCCCCCTCGAAATACAAAAGGATGCCTTGGGATCGGCTTGCATTAGCACCTGAACTAGTGATAGGGAGTGAAGCAGTTGGGCGTGTTGACCGCTTCACTTATCTCGGGAGTTTCATCAGTGGCGATGGCCTGGTGACTGGCGAAATCTCAGCACGGATACAGAAGGCTCGACTGGTTTTTGCCAACCTGCGTCACCTATGGCGCAGGTGAGATATCCCTTTGCTAACCGAAGGTCGAGTGTACTGAGCAGTATTTTGGTCTGTCCTACTTTATGGATGCGAAACATGGCCAGTAAGAGTTTAGGACATTGGTAGGTTATTGGTATTTGACGATCGATATCTTCAATGCATAGCTTGTGTATCCGGGGACAATCGAGTAAGCGACGCAGTTGTTAGGAAACCAGTACTAGGTAAGGATGGAAGGTCAATAGATGAAGTAGTGAAACGTCATCAGTTGAGTTACGAATGCCCAATCTCCAACTCCCTAGTCGGGCGATGTTTTGTCGTGTAGGTTGGAAGAAAGATGCATGCACTGCTGAGGAGTCCCATATTAGGAAAAAACGGTTGTCAAATGCTTCTTTGTATTTAATGGAGGTGACTGTCTAACTTAAGTCGGTTTTTGATATCATCAGCATTTAGTGATTGAAACAAACATTTAAACTGATAAATAATAAAATACAATATGAATGGCTAGATGGATAAAAGAGAAACAGGCTCACTTTACTAGCTCTGGACTGACATGTTTTCCACACGGCAAAAACGGAGTCGGACGCAGACAATCTCATTTCTTCTTCGAATACGAATTCCTCCAAATTAAATTTCTCTTTATATTTCTTTTGATGTGTGTGAGTACGTAAATGATTTTCTATATCGTCAGCACCGATTAAATCCACTTTACAAAGTGAACAGCTATACTCTAAATCTCGTGTATTGTATACTTGCTAAAAATAACAGAAAATGAACGGGAGAGGGAGAGTGTAAATCCATTTATCAACAATGGAGCAAAAGATGATATATATTAGTTACTAAAAAAAAAACAGCAACTGTCTCATTGTATTATATACTGACTGATATGAACTAATCTTTAACAAAGACATAAGCATAATCATTTTTAAGGAGGCGGTCGAAATTAAATACTTTTATGAATATAGTAACACTGTGTTACGTTAGTGTAAGAATCCAACTAAAGATAATTCCTACACATAAATCAATACTGTTTGAAGCATATAATGAAAAATGTTGTGGTTTAACAACAACAGACTATTACTTTGATAGGTTGAATCGAATGTCGGCTAGAATCTGATCACTAAACATAATGAACGAATCAATAAGCAATTTCATGCTGAAAACTAAATTATTATTCAGCTTCTTCGTGAATGAAAAATGAGTATCATCGAAACAACCTGGCTATCCTGTACAAGCATGACTGACTGTAATGAACTGAGTTTTATTTTTGTCAGTATCAGTTACGATAGTAACGATTTATGGAAAGTAATTCATTTGAACTTGAAAGTCATTACTATCCATACAATCATACTGACATGTCTAGAATTGAAACTGATTTTTTTTCATTAAGAGAGGAAGAATGGAAGTGCAACTGTAGCAGACTCTGTTGCTAAGACACAAAGTAAAAGCTTTTATTTGTTTCCATTTAAAGAAAATAAAATGACTTACCTGAATATCCACAATTGCCTGTATATGTGGTAAGTTACACAATCTCATGAAGTACGTAGAGAGAGAGAGAGAGAGAAGGGTTTAATATTTCGACAGCCACGCACTGTAATCACATCTTCACATTTACACAGACTGATCCAACATTTTATCGACATTAAACGTTAATATTTGTAAGTGATACTAAGTCTATATGCTGCTATGTTTTTTTTTAAATAATTTTATTTTTACATAGTATTATGCTTTTTTTTTCTGTTGTTGTATGTATGGAAGCACACAATAATCCAACACATAAATGCGCGGATGACCAAAGTTTCTCTAATAATAAATAAGAAAAGTTGGTAAAATTGGTAGGTTTTATTGCTAACTTGCAGCTAACTATAAAGTCTATCTTTGCGTGCGCTTGCTTATGTGTGTGTGGATGCAACAATTACAAACTAGATAGTGCAAGTCCTTTTGAAGCAACTTTTTAAAAGCTGCCGTATAGTAAGTACATGACGACTACTTAGAAAAGTAGTAGACATTTGGCAACATTAAATACTTCTGACTATTGTTATCATCTCAAGTAACCCAGGATATTCAGTGAGGCGCAGTCAAGAATCACAGTTTTCGGTGAATGTCTTTCGCATTCAACCTACCTCCTGAATAAATTCCTCGCCAACTGGATTTGGTTCTTGAGAGATTAAATGTTTCAAGTCGAGGAATTTTTGCAAAAATGCATTTCCAGCATCCAATTCGACTTCCTTACAGTCTCCATAGTTCCCATATGGAACAGAGCAGTCTGGAAGAAATTTAAAATTAAAAATTCATGGTAAATGACTATAGGAGCATTATGATCAACAGAGTTTTATGAACAAACTAAGAGTAACGACATACACTGATTTTACGATATTGACAAATACTTTAGAGTGAATTAAAACCGAAATTAGTCTTCTTTTTACTGATATATATCAGATCATGAAAAAAAACACGCAAAATGCTAATATTTGAAAACTTATAGGGGTTTGATATGCTTGGAGGCGTGAAGATCAGATGATCACTGAAGTATATACGATAGTTTGTAGTTTTGAATCACGTTAATTAAAAGGATTCGTTACGTAGATAAGAAGAATATAAACCAGCATATATGGCAAACATATTGAAGTAATAAAAAATATAGACCCATATATATCTGTCAATAATACTAACTGTATGACATAACAGTTTTTTAGAAATTGAATGGTAAGGTTTCACATTATAATTGTGTCATTGAACTCAACACTACGTAGATTGCTGTTAAACTAAAAACACTACTTACAGACAAAACAACTAAATTCGATTTTAAGTAAGTCCCGAACAATGAATATGCACGATATTCAATAAACGCAGTGAGTTTACTTTCTAAAAACAATACCAACTATCTTTGAAGATGAAAAACAACTTACCCTTATTCATATATAACGTGAATGAACCTAATGGATCATTGGCAATTTCTTCCGGTGTTTTTTTCAGTTGTCCTCTTAAAAGTCTAGCAACTCGACAAAGACGTTTGTGTTTTTTCCACTTCAGATGAGCATAAAAGTGACGACCATTTTGAAATGACTGTTCGCATACATCACAATAATCTGTACGTCTTGGGACCTTTTTCTGCTTTGAACAAGAAATGTTTGAGATTAAACAATGAAATTGATGAAATTAAATAGTCTGAAATGAATCTGCTCTTAAAATGGCTTTCATTAAGTATTGTACTTAGGACAATAATTTTCGAAGTAGGGAGAGCGGGATTCGGGTCTATAGTAACATGTCTGGTATCCTGATGCTTTAACGATCAAGGTGACATTTTACCAATACTGTTGGTTAGAGCTACACTTTTAGCAACAAAACTGTTGGGGCTGTTAGATCTTCAGAACTCGCTTGATAAATATCTTTGTTTTGGTTTTATTTCATGGACCGATCAGTTGACCTTGAGATCACATTTCCCACCAGGAAAATCCTTGGTTGTGATTGGTTACTGTGTCATTTTAGTGTGCTATTTTTGTGACTGTCCCAAGGACGTCTCTATGGAGTATAAATAAACGCAATTTGAGTCTCCGAATTCATTGTGTGCTGGCTGGGTGTTTTTAGAATACAATTTCTATGCTATATCAAGATTTCTTGCTGGTACAATCGGGTCAAGGGATCACAGTAGCCTACCTGGACGCTGGACCATTGTCTTGTTCTGGTTATTCGACTAAGGTGAACTAGTAATAGTTTAAGCAAACCTAGAGACGAGCGTAACAAAAACTAATCCTTAGCTGCGACTAAACCGCAATTTGTTGAAGCGTGGACAAAAAACAACAAATATAAGTGTTGATTCGACCATCTTTGAGAAAACGACAGTTCATCTACATCTGGTCGATTAACTGAAACAGACATCACAACAGCCTTTTAGGAAGTAATCGAACTTTCAGTAGCTTCAGATAGGCCAGAACTGCCAGGGATACATTACTGAGATATGCACTTAAGTTTCATTTTAGAATTTGAAAATATCCTGAAAATTAAAATAGACTACTTAATTTCCCGATGATATACAAAATTGTAACTACTTATGTAACGTAACTTAATAACACAAATCATATGAAGCTGGGTAGTACTTGCAGTGTGACTGCAATACTCAGTAACAAGTTGTAAAAACTTCAGAGCCATAACTTGGAAAAATTATGCTTAGTTAAAGGTAAAAAGATGGAAAATACAACTGTGTTTATCGTAATAATTCAAAACATGTATCTAACTTACAGTTTCTCCTTCGTCTGATTCATTCTTGCTACGGTCAGACTTTTTCATGTGCCCTTCTGCTGTGATATGATCAAGGTATTGTTCTTTTCTTTGAAATGATCGCTTGCAATCTTCACAGTAGAAATTAGGTTTCCTGTTTCTGTTCTGAAAATGTAACGAAACTAGTCTTAACAGAATGCGGTGGAGTAAATTAACTGTAATACAATTACATGAATGACTAGTTTGAAATCCTAAAGGGATTGATCATGAAGTCATCATCTCTTTTAAACATCACATCAAAATGGTTGGATGTGATACACACATTTGAATTTATGATAGACACATACATATTAGACTACCAAGGATGATTTTCAAAATCTATGAATAAAACTGAAGTAATAATAGTTTCTATGGCGGATTTATGATTGAGGAACATAAATGCAGATACCATAATAAATATACAGGTTACTGGCATTTGTGCATTGGATTTTCACGCTGAGGAACAAGGATGACCGGAATGAGTTGCACACATCCAATTACTAGTGGTAACGAAAATAGTTATCAATAATTGTAGTGTTTTTTTTATTTCAGTAAGGTCCAAGTAACAACTTATGACAGGAAATTTCCGGTGACACTCTATAACCGGTTTTCTTTTGCTTGTAGTTATTTTAAAGTTATCATTTTACCTAGTGTGAGGTGCGGTAGATTGAAATGATTTTGGTAACCAAGTGAAAACTGTTTTGAGAGATAAACTTTGGTACAGGCATTACCCAATTATTAAAACTAAAATACCATAATGCAAAACACGAAAATGAAGTGTGCGAACCGTAGGGCGAAATGAATATGAATTGAAATGACTTACATTATTTCTACGATAGTCGCTTCTAGCCTTCCCCTTACTCCTTCTATCTTCAGTTGTATTAAAGCTTCGTTTGAAATTACGGATGTGCCTTTCGGTATCCAAATGTATGGAATAAGTATGCTCATCTGTGAACGCTACATCACAGTACTTACAGTATATTCGTAATTTTGGTTTTCGATTCTGAAAAGCAAGTGAAGATGAAGAATGTTTAAATCTTCTTAGAAGAAATAAATTTTGACTACTCATTTACTAGGTAAAAGTATGTGTGCTCAGAGTTACGACACTGTGGAAATTAATGATATTACCTGGTCATCTGAACATAGTAAGCAAACTGATGTTAGAAACTGTAACCTACTGCTTGAAAGTTAGATGCTTTGACGGGCGAGAAATAAAACCCGTAGTCAAAAGAAATCTAAGAAACCGTTTAATAGATTACTCACTAAATTTATGTGAACAAAAGAGGCATAAAAGGAGCGAACATGGTCTGTTAAAGCTCAAGAACAGATATTACGATAAATGACAGTTCCGAAGGATTAGGTTTTATAGGAGATAGAATCTACTAATCCTACTTTTATTTAAACTATATGACCGGTATGTCATTTATTCCAGAAGTTGATTGACTTTATTCTTTGTGAGCAAATTAACTTATTTGGGGTAATGAAATACTGTTATGAAGACTGTGTACTAAAGTGAAAAGCCTTCGAAAGCCAAAAAATAACAGCAATCGTATAGGTGAACAGACCTTGACCTCTATATAGAGCATAAAGGTTTAATACAAACTAGCAGCTATAATCAGTATAAAAACGAAATTGTCCACAAGTTATATCTCGCTGACGTTTACCAAACACAAGTGTTGGCTTAGTACGCAAAAACTTTCACATGGACATTGAACATCGTCTCCACAATTACATGACGCCGATTCATTAAAGATTAATATGATTACAAGAGTAGGAAGAACAATCATAAAATACAAAATTTAAATAACAGAAATAAGTTTAATTCGGGGAATAATGGTATAAAAATGCACTAATAACATTGAAAAAACCTTACAATTTCATACTAATATAATGAAGTAAATTAATTTTATTCACTGACAGATTATATAAATAAAAAAATTATATCATTGGAATACAAATTTAAATGACTTTGGCTACTAAATGAGTGTTAGTCACCAAGTCAGGAATTACTTGTTCAAGTATAGGTGTAGGTGGATATCGTGGTTGACTATTGATCGGTGGTTCACGAGAATGATACCAATAACTAGAATCATGTGATGGAGTTTGCAGTTGATTTCCACCTGAAAAAACAATAAAATTATTTTGTAGAAAAAGTACGAAAATATCTAAAGTAATTGTAGATGTTGCATACATTGAAAGGTTTGTAAAACTTACAACGTAGAACTTGCTACGTACACTAATCAGCTCAAGTTGCTATACCACACAAGCACAGAGATGGAATTGTCAGTTTAAAGGTCTTATCAATAGAGGTTGTAGCAAAAACTAGGTGCAAGCCGACCCTGAAGCATCATTTTGTATTTCAGAAGGAAGAATCGCATCCGGAACATACTTGCATTGTTGCTTTAGGTGGTCAGAAGATTCTGCATTTTGTCAGCATGTACATCAAACAGAACTATATCATCTGCACGTTTTAAACCAACAAGTTAGTTAGTCCTGATCCCTCTGTGACTGTCACAGTAAGTGATTGAGACCAGTCAGATGGGATTACATCCAGTTCCCATATTCTACTTAATATCTTAGCCGATCTAACTGCTACAACTGGAACACTATCCTTAAAAACCTCGGGTTAATTTATAAGGATCTGCTACTCTCCCTATCTGTAGATTGCCTAGAACATTTTCAAGCTGATCAACAGTCAGAGGACTTGCATTAATTTGGCATTCAGGTTGACGGAAGATCGTGGGTAACCGAAGTGTGATGTGACTGGAGACCAACTGAACTGATCCCTAAAGTGTTCTGCCCATCGACCCAATCTCTTCGATTGAGAGTGAAAAATAGTCCAATCTCCCCGAGTCTC